CTTAACCCCGCACCCAACAAATCGCCCAACAACAGACAAGGACCCCTTTGAAGCCACCTCCAGGAAAGGGCGGTGTGGGGCAACGACCCCAACGGCTCCGTGGTCCTCTGGAAGGAGAACCTGGGATGCTTCCCAGCCCGGTGAGGTGGGAAGCCCACACAACATTCAGGAGACCGTGGGAGGAGTACACGAGGACTTCAACATCTCTCAATGCCAACAGCCCCCAAGGGAGGCCAAGCCACACTACCTGGCAGAGCCACATGATGACCAGGAGGGCATGCCTCAGAGGGTCCTTGGGTTCCTCCACCTCCAAACAAGCAAAGGACACCAAGGAGAAACAAGCCAGAGGCTGTGGTGATGGGTGCAGGGCAGCAAGCTGGGCTGCCATGGCGTGGGGGGTGATAGCCAGCCTCAGCAGCAGGACTAGGACACCTCATGTGTTGTCCCAAGATTCAAAACCATGCCAGATTCAGGTCCTTAACCCCACACGCAAGCCAATTGGCTCTCCTCGGGTCCTTCTCTTGGATCAAGACACCCATCAAACCTCAACAAGCAAGGGAGGAACCCCGACGTGCCTACTTCCACAGACACCATGACACAAATGTGGGACTTGTGAACGGGAGATGGGGCAAGGGACTGTGGTGCCCAGCAAGGTACCTTCTGCTCCCAGTCTGTGTCTGCTTCTCTGGGCAAACACAGCTGGGGGCAGCCAACAAGCGGAGGCATCACCATGTCCCAAAACGTCTGTGCAAGATGTAATCAGGCATCTAGGGAAGACATCAATTGCCTTTGGCCAATGATGTATTGAGTGGTAGCACCTCACACTGGGTCCCACCCCAGACGCAGGGTGCAGAACTGGTGGGGCAGAGCATGGTGGACTCGCCAGCAAGGACCACCTACTCAGATACACCATCCCAGGAGGGAGGAACGAGGGGAGAGGGAGGCTCCTAATGGGTCTGGAAGCAGATGTCTGATACAGGTCACCTGAAAATATCTCTGCGCCTTCATTACTAAAGGAAGATGGACAATCAGCCCTAAAGTGGATGTCCAGGATAGATCCTGCCTTGTCCCCGTGATCACTGAATCACAGAAGGGTTTGGGTTGGAAGAGACCATCACAACCATCCAGTCCACCCTCGTCTGCCGTGCACAAGGGACATCTCTCCCTGGACCAGGTTCCTCAAAGTGCCATCCAACCTGACCTTGAACCCTTCCAATGATGAGGCATCCAAAACTTCTTTGGGTGGACTTTTCCCTGCCTGACCATCCTCATCATAAAATATTTCTTCCTTATGTCCAGCATAACCCTGTCCTCTTCCAGCTTAAAACTGTCATCCCTCGTCCTGTCACAATAGGCCTCGGTGGCACTCACATGAGGGTGGCAGTGGCCCTCACACTATCGCTAGCTGGGGCACCAAGGCACTTCCCCAAGGTTTCTCCAGATGGAGGACAGCTCTGCAGAGTCAAATCCTGTCTAGTCATGGCCTTTGTGTGACCTTAACTCTGGAGACAAGCCTAGGGTGACCTGTTTAGGCATCACCCAGCGTTGTTGAGGCTGGCAACAGAGTCTGATCAGTGCCTGCTACGAGCATCCCACCTGCCTTGTTGGTCTTAGACCTTCAGTCAGCCACAACTGCATGGTGACACCAGCAGCTGCTCTTCTCCTGGGTCATGGCACAGCTCCTTGCAGAGGTGGACGATGCTTCACAATGCCCTATATAAAGGGCCATTGAATGGTCTTCTTGTTCTGGTATCAAGCACTATGGTCCATAGAGCTGGCCACCACCACCTCCAGATGGTTCTCCACCACAAGGCAGGTGCTGGTAGTTGTTCTAGCGTTGGCCCAACGTGAGGCTGGTTGATGTAGGGCAAAGTTTAACAACACAGTCATTGACTCAGATGACCTTGGGACATCAGCTGGGGTCCCAGCATCTCTGTCCCAGCCACCTACGGCCACGATATTGTTCAACCCTAGCAAGATCAACATAGAGCACAAGTGGATATCCTGAGAGGGGAGGATTTGCTCCGAAAAGGGGATGGTGATGCCCTAGAGCAACCCACCTCTGTCCACCAGCACAACATCCCTTTTAAGCCTCAACACACCTAATGGTCACGCCTAGGAAGGATGGGGACCCATCTGTGGTGGGGCCTAGGCCCATCACATGAAGCGCCCTTTTTTCAGCAGCTTCAATTTCTCAGTCAACCGTGGGATGGGGAAACCAATCAAGGGTGTGACCGTTTCATGGCCTCCCAGTGCTATTTATCATCCCCGGCCCCTGCACAGTGCCGGGAGAAGGGGGTGACTCCTCTGGCTGCTGCAAGCTCCGAGTCTATTGACCCGCTTTAGGACTCTTTGGAAGAGACGAACTTTTTTTTCTTTTTTTTTTTCCCTTCCCTTTCTCCCTTTTTCCAGATCACTGACTCAGCAAATTAGAACAAGAATATAATTTAGCAATACAGCGGTTTTTGAAAGACACAGTCCCCCTCTCCTCATCCCCACCGCCCAAATAGATTTTTTTTATATATTTTTTTTCCCCTTCACTATTCATTCGGAGCTGATGCTAATTGAAAAAACAGAGAACGTGGCTAAGAAAACGGTGGGTTGTCTCTTCAGGCTGACCAGAGCATGCATAGCATCTTCATATTGGGATGTCCCAATGACTTTTTAACCTTTGCCGGCTCTGGGGTCAGCACAACTCCCAGAAAAATCAAACCTAGCTTAAGCGCAACACGTGGGTGACCCCGCAGACAGGTCTTGGCCCAGAGCACCCATGGGTCTGCAGGAACACGTGCCCACCTGGCACTCAGCCCTCACCCATGTCATGCCACCAGCAGCCCAATCTCCAATACATGCAACCACCCATCCCTGGACTTCTCCACACCAACATAGCACCTCCCCAGTGGATTTGGCACGGGGACACCTCAAACTCAACGGCAGGTCACAAGCAGCTCTCTGCACCCATGGGTGGACCACAGCGGGTGGCGACAGCCTGGGCACCACCCCAAAGCCTTGCACCAGGAGCATCCCTGGGATGCTCCCAGCTCAGCTGGGTGCTGAAGCCGGCGTGCTGGGACTGCAGCTCAGCTGACACTGGGAAATCCAGCCCAGTGCCCTACGGACTCATTCTATCCACCCCAGGGAGACCTGGCATGGCCACAGAATGGGAGGCGTCAGCCAGCCCAAACTGCCACTGACAGTTCGTCACCTGAAATCGGTGAGCACCGCGCTGCTCAGAGCGAAGGGGCTGGGCTACAGCTTCACCACCGCCACTGGTTCCACCATCGCCAAGCCCTGCCCTGAAAAAGCAGCCTCTTGCCCCACCATCACCAGGTTCAAAGCTGCTCCCGGGAGCTGCAAGCCCACCCAGGGATGCCAGCATAGCCCCACAGCTGCCCGTGCCTGCAAAGGGGGGAGCTGAACCCAAAAGCCAAACCCATCCCCCTGGGGACCCCAGGGAGAGAGCCCAGCCCTCCACCCCAGTACATAAGGGAGGGTGGGAACTGGGGATGCTGTGCAGAGCAAACATCTCACAGTGAGAACTGTTAATGGGGAAAGGGTAAAATAAAAAAAAGTAAGAAGTACCAGGTGTTTTTATTATCTAGGGCAAGATCCGAACCCAGGAGCGCAGCCCGAGGAAGGGTTAGGGTGCCTGAGAGGGGCCGGTTACCTCCAGTGCTGCAGAAGGCTTCTTTTTGAGTTCTTCACATTTTCGGAATTTGCAAATCTGGTGGCCAGTTTTGCGATTCCTACAACTGCTGCACTGCTCGCAGTTTATCCGTCTTCGGCAGGGCGGGCACATGCCGCATCTTTTCCGTTTCTTTTTCCCCGAATTGATGGCAGATGCCAACTCATTCTGCATGGGATACTCTGCCAAGCCAGCCATATGGAGCGCGCTCTCTGCCAGAAACACGCCGGCGGGGGTCATAATGAAAAGGCCTGGGTTGATGGGAAAAGCCCCCAGGTAAGGAAAATCAGAGGGGCCGTTCATTGTCTCTGCAGCTGAGACCGCCTCCATGTCGGAGATACCAGTCCCGTGGTCGCTTGCGAGAGGGAGATGTTCCTGTACCACCCTCTTGAGCATTTCTGTCGACTGAGCAAACTGTTGTAGGGCGATCTGTCCTTCTGAGGAGATCTCCGACACCCGGTCTAATTTGCTCAGCATACTAGAGATGTTTTTGTGCTTTGAGGTAGAATGACTTTTATCCACAGTCGCGTCGTTGCCATTAGCTAAGGGGTTGCCTTTCTCTGAATGTTCGCTTACCGAGCTGCTGCTACCAAAGGTGGAATAGTGGGAGAGTGGACGGGACTTCTTAAGACTTTTGTTCAAAGGTTCACTTATTATCCCACTTTTGTTCCTCCTCTCAGAGTTGACGGGGGGTTGAGAGTCATCCTGGTTATTTTTTTCCGTCTCTGGCTTGTTCCCAGTGTCTTGATGGGAGCCCGTATTGGACATGGTGCCCGGAGCACGACAACAAAACCAAACCCAAAATATTTAAAAAAAAACCCAACAAACTCAAAAAAAAATAAAACAAAAAAATCCCAAAACCCCACCCCCAACACCAAAGCGAAAGCCCTCCTGGTAGCACCAGCCCTCCAGGTCAGACGGGAACGCTCATCGACGGGGCGTCTCCTCCAGCGTCAGCTGCAGAGGACCTCGGTCCGGTCTCAGTGCAAAGACATGCTCTGCGGCTCTGGCCCACGACACGCGGCTCTGGAAGCAGAAGAGAAAAGCGAGTTTAGCGCTGGCAAGAGCCGACGGGCTTTTCAAAGTGGCTCTTCCTCCCCCCC